TTGTCTCAGCTTTGGATTCTTCAAGTAATTTAATTCAGCTTTCTTAATCTTAATTTCTTGCAAACATATTGCTTCTACATTCTTTTTGGCCAAATAATGAAAAGTTTTACTTCGCTTAAATTTAGAGTTCAAACCTTTTATATTCCATGAAATAATTTTAAATGCCATATTTGTCGAATTTAATTATTGTTTATATGAACCAAGTAAGTTAGTAATTATAGCTCATGTTCCCCTTCTATGGGGTATTTTTGAATACTTCTATCCTCTTCAGAGAACAGTTCCCTGGTTACATTCCCCTGGGAATCCTCCTCTAATAATTCTGTGCCTCCTTCACATTGAGGAACTGTCTCAATTTTCCCTTCCATCTTTCGTGACTCCTCTGATGGTTTTCCTTCCTCTTCTTTTTCAAATTTTTCATATTGCATTTTCTTTAAAAAAAATCTCTAGCTTTCATGAATGAATTTATTCTGTATCTCCTTTGTTTGTATGTAAAAGAGATGCCCTCAATTTTATCCCAAACATACCTAATTCTTCTCTTCATCAATTCTTGTGTGAGGAATTTATAGTTTTGTCTCTTCCTCAAAACCTCCATTGGAACATCCTTATATATGTTAACTACCGTATATGCCCATCAATAAGAAGATGTAACAATAAGAGATATAACTATGTCCCTTGGAATGTTTCTTTCTCTTGCAATCCCAGAATTGATCCTGAAAATCTTGTCCATATCTTTGACCATCTCTTGTTTTGGCAGACCAATAAACTCTGCTAAAGATGTCATTATTGTCTCAAACAAATCTTAATTTAGCTTTTCCGGGACCCCTCTCATCTTCAAACATCTCTCCCTGTAACGGACTTCATGCGTCAAATTTAAGTAACTCTCTCGCTTTTTTCAATTAGTTTTATCATCTTAGTCTTCAGTTCTTGGGTAGTTTCTTTGAGATCTTCAACTTCAGTTCTTAATCCTTCTACTTCCTTTGATATTTTATTCAACTTCTTACCAAATTCCCCAAGTTCTCTGTGCAAATCTTTGGTTTCTTTTCTGGACTGGTTCAATTCATTCTTCATCTCGAGATGCATCTCATGTTTAAATCTTTGAAATTCATCCAGCAATGTCTGTGTGGGGTCCATTGCCCCAGCTGTTGTATCAATGGATCCTCTTCTTTGAGAGGAACCAATAGTAGGGGTTGATTTTTTAATTCCTGTTGCCACCTTAATCAGTTCCTAAATATAGAAGCTATTCAGAGAAAATCAAACTTAATTCATACAATGCTCAAGTTAAAATTAGATTCCCCCTTGTTCTCTTTCCTTCCTCTACTTTCTTATCTAGCAATGTCAACTATTTGATTCAATTTATTTCTATTATTGCTAATTAAAACTTAAGTTCAAAATCTTCTGTTGAATATTATCAATCAAGTTAGTATTATCATCATCAGTCCCAAAACTCTTAAATTTAAATTAATTCAACCCCCCTCTCCAATCACATTCACATATCCAAGAATCCGAAATAGGTTCAATGAAGCAGTAAGCTAATAGAACAATTTCTTAAAATGTTTCAAAAATAATATTATTGATCACCTCTGTTTAAATTAATTAATTATAATTAAATTTTGTCTTCATCCTATTTTATATATATATATATATATATTCAATAAGTATATAATTCAAATCTATATCAATTTTTCCAATATTCAGACAGCCTCAACCTTCTACAGTCTCAACCTTGTTAATGGACTTTCCTTCCTTTTTATCTTATTACTCTTTACTATCAGGGGTTGCAGACTGCCATAAATAGTGCAAATTGAGTCCACTTTTAGGGTTAGGGTTAGGGTTAGGGAATCATGGGAACTGTAGTTTATTGTGGGACAAGAACTCTGACAGAGAAGGCTCAATGCCTCAGAAAAAAAAACAATTCCCATGATTCCCTAGCATTAACCCTAACCCTAAAAGTGGACTCAATTTGCACTATTTATGGCAGTCTGCAACCCCCCTAAGTCATTTTAAAACAGCCCAGATTAATTAACAAGTCTTCTTTAGTTTCTTTTCCCAATCCCCCTCTTTCTACCCCTCTTGAGGTCTCATACTTCTCACTCCATCCTACTGTCCTCTTCCTCAGTTGGAGATCACTGCCCTGTCCTCCTGTCCTTCTTCCGCCACTCCTTTCTTTCACTTTCTCCTCCTGTCCTTCTAAACAAGTTTCCCTGCCAATTTACTCATCCTCATGCCACTTCTACTTCACAGATCGCTGCCCCATCCTCCCATCCTCCTTCCACCGCTCCTTTCTTTCACTTTCTCCTCCTGTCCTCCAAAATAAGTTTCTTTGCCAGTTTCCTCATCCTCTTGCTGCTTCTACTTCACAAATTGCTGCCCCATCCTCCCATCCTCCTTTCGCCACTCCTTTCTCTCACTTTCATCTCCTGTCCTCCAAAACAAACCTCCTTGCCAGTTCCCTCGTCCTCCTGCCACTTCTATTTCACTGATCACTGTGCCATCCTCCCGTCCTCTTTCCCAGCAGTAAACTCCCTCCCAATATCTCAATAAGCCTCTTATTATTATTCTCAATTTCTCTCTGAACCGGCCACTCTTTGTTCCATTAGATTAAGCCTCCAACATTTTCCTTTGTCTTCCTTTACCCTTGCTTCTTGCCTTGTTTACCTTGTTTACTTGCCTTACTCACTTCAAGCATTCATTAGAGTTTATTATATGATTATCTAATTAAACCAAAACCATATAGTTACTCACTTGTTTAACTTTCATTTGTTACCTTTTACTTTCACTCCTAGTTCGATCTTCTATTTAAACAATTCCAGCCTGGTCTTTGATGTTGTTCTCCCTGACTCAGACTGTGCTATCCAGTTGCAATCAAGTTGCAATTCAGTTCTCAAATGTAGCAAACTTCTTCCCTGGTTCCAAGAACTGTTTATAATAGAAAAGTTAAGCTGTATTTATTGCCTCCATTCTAATTTAAAGTCTTATTAAGAAAACTAAAATAATAATAATAATTAAAAAAAACCAGATGGCAGGGCTCAGAGCCAAAACAGCAGCCATTGCAGGGCAGGCTGCTCTATGACCCTGTCCTCTCTGACCTGGAATCTTCTCTGGAGGTGCCGGTCAAGATAAAGGTCTCCTTTGAGCCCCATATAATCTCCTCCTTTCCCAAGGGGAAGATGGAAAGGAATTCTGTGATCCCTTCAATCCTGCAATGGCAGTCCTGTGGAGAGCCCTTCACACAGGACCGGTCACCTTGCCATCACTGCCAGAACCAAAGAAGCCTCTTTTCTTGCTCATCAATGGCAACTAAGAAAAATAATCAAATGAAAAAGACAAAGAAATTCCATAAACTGAGAGAAAGGGTATCCCAAAGCTGAACAGGAAAAAACAGACACAACCAAACTGCAACATTGCCCCAAAACAGATGGGCAGATGGGGATAGCTTCCAGCCACTGCAAGGTATGGAACCCAAAACCAGCTTCAAAAGGAGCAGCTTTTTTCTGCTTTTTCCCATGGTCCATTTGGGGCCTTGGCAAGAGCACCCTCGGGGCTGTGGTGCGTGTTCAGCATGTCCCTTGGGCAATTGGGCTGGGAGTGGCTTCTGGCCACTCCTAGATTCCCATCTGTTTCTCCTCACTGGGATCTGTGATGCCTTCAGGGATAAACTTGGGATACTTTAAGAGCTTCCCATTTTTTGTTTCATCCTTAAGTCACAATTGGAAGCAAGAATGGAAGTTATTGTGAGATCCCTAGCTTACTGTTATGTTTTCTTTTTCTGGTCCAGGCCATGACCCAGGAGCCCTTCCTTCTCCAATAAAACATAAGTTACAGGTTTTTGTGGGTTTTTCAGGCTGTGAGGCCAGAAACACAGCATCACAGCCCGAAATAACCTATGGATGCAGGCCATGAAAGCCTTTGACTTCAAACAGAAGTTACAATCTTGCATATGCTTTCTTCCATCATCTTTGGACCTATCTTGTTTACTGTTTTTGACTTTATTGTTGGACCATCCAAGCTGTATCCATGGTTCCTCATCTGGTCATGGTCTAGGAAGATGTACTCAAGCTGGAAAGGTGTTACCAGGAATAGGTGGCCACTGGTGGTGTGGTTTCCAGTAGAGGTACCAAATGTTGAAGGCTTTAAAATGCATGCTTTTAATTTAAAGTCCAAGAGCTCTTATCTAGAATCATACTCTAAGGTCCAAAAGGTCACTTCTCATAAAATTAGAATTAAAAATATTGTGGATAGCTTCCATGGATAGAGGAACATTTAAACATTTACACATATAAGGCAAATGAAATTGTCCAGTACTATGCAAAGCTAGTACACATTTGCTGTATGCAGTAGTTTTTGTTTGTTTGTTTGTTTGTTTGTTTGTTTTACTGTACATAGAAACAGAAGGCATGCACAGGATTGTAAACTGATATAACCTTCTTGGGAGGTGATCACACTTTGTGGAAGTCCCTACCACTGGAGGCTAGGTTGGTCTTCTCTATGCTGTCTTTTTTCAGCCAAAGACCTTCTAATTTAAACATGCCTTCAGTTTTCTTTGTGGCCATCCACATTTACTCTATGATTTAAGAGTTTGGTGTCTGTCTCAGTACATGTTTTAATTGATGGTGGCAGAAGGCTCCTTTTTATGGGATGTGCTGTACATATATTCTTGAATGAGAGGAAAATGCATGCATCTCAAAATGTCACAAAAATGTGTATAGTTACATAAGGGGTGGACAAAGTATCACTTGGGGGCTACATGCAGTTCCTGGGACTCCTGGGTAAGGCTCATAAAGCCCTCAAGAGACACTAGGCTTCCACCCCATTTGAATTTTCTCAGTGGTTTTTGCACTATTTTTGCCACCCAAACTGGCCAAAAAGAAGCATTGCTGTGTGCCTTCAAGTAATTTCCAACTTATGATGACCCTATCATGGGGTTTTCATGGAAAGAATTGTTCAGAGAAGATTTGTCATTGCCTTCCCCTGATGCCGAAAGGTCACCCAGTGGGTTTAATGGCCAAACAGGGAATTGAACCCTGGTCTCCAAAGTCACAGTGCAATACCCAAACAACTAGGTCACACTGGCTCTCAAAATATCCCCCCAACACTCCCTAAAACACAAAAGACAACTTTTAACAGAAAAAAAAAATGATGTATCACTTTGGACATGCCAAAACATGCCAATATGGCACACCAGGCCAGCGCAGGGAAGAAAATGATCCCTGCCTCCTTTACAGTTGCCTATCCCTAATTTACACAAATGCACATGAAAATATGTACATATATTCAAGTGAGGAAACATGATTGGCCCATGATCTGGCCCAAATCATAATAAGATTTAAGGTGGACATCAGAGAACGTCAACAGGCTTGTGTTTTGCTCATTCACATACCCCTAAAGGAATATACAAATGAATATGGTAACAGCATGATGCTGTTTCTCTGGTTTGCCTTCTACAAGATTAACATAAACAAACAGTGTCATCTGTAAATAAATGCTAGCATATTTATGGGTGGTAAGTAACATAAATTGTCTTGATCTACAGCCAAAATCAGCAATTGTTAAAGCAGGGAAAAGAACAAACTAAATGTGAATTATAGAGAATGGTTTAGCATGAAAGTCAGAACAAAGAGTAGCTCAAGACAAAAACAAAAAAATGCTCACTTTTCACTTTTGTGTTGCCTACTAAAAGCTCACTGTGTTGTAACTTCAACTCTGGTTGTTAGATTTTGAAAACTGAACCCAATATTTTCTTCTTCTTCATGTGGCTTTTTTTGGGGGGGG